CACCGGACCCAAAACGTTAACTCTGATTTTTTTTTCTTCACGGATGCTGCCAGACCTCCTGAGCTTCCAGCAACTTCTGTTTTTGTTCCTGATTTACAGCATCCACAGTTCTTTTGATTTTCACAAAAAGATATTGCTCTTTTATAAGAATCCAACCGGTTCATAAATGTAAAGGACACAGGCCACCTCAGTTTCGCCTGCATTCAAGTCGAGTTCACAATTGTGGTTAAGAGGATCAGGTGGGGCAGGGAGAGAATTGATGGTCAACCTGGATTTTGCAGTTTTAATTATGGCACAACTGTCAATGTTCCACATCATAACTCTTCGACAACAACCTCCAATGTTCACACATGCATAGTTAAATATGAACATCCAGAATTTGAATTTCAGTAATTCCCAGTTCATCTACATGGTGTCTTTTTGAGGTCTTTGCATATTGTTTCAGTGATTTCTAATTGATTCCAATGTGAATTTCCATTTTTGCACTATTGTTTTTGCTAATAACAATCCTTGAAAATGCTACACATTGTTTGAGTGAGGTGCAACTGGTGCTTTTAAAAAGGTATAATTAATTATTGGTGAACAATCCCTCTGACAGCAGCAGTGAGTGTAAATCCAGGCCATTAACACATGTCAGCAGGGCAGGCAAGATCATTAAACCAATTACTCCACACAGCTAGTCTGAAACCTCAATCGATGGGTCAGTGAGGTGTTTAATGTTAAAATAAGGATGAAACTGTTCGACATCACTGGGACAAGGCAGCTTCAAAGACAAAAGGCAGCCACCCACTTTTAATACCCCACTCCGCTATCAGTGCCTAATGCCACGGTTCAGACCCAAGAGCACTGAAGCGCAGTTCAGAAAAGCCAAGCAATTAAAAAAAGTGGTTCGATTGGGGCAGTCAGCTGCTGAATTGGGCATTGAATTATCACTTTAGTCTGATACAAAAATTGATCTGAAATTGCATCTCATACAGTATCATTGAAATATCTGTTACCCTGAAAAGGTATAAAAATCATAAACAACACATGCAGATGAGACTTATTAAGCACCAATTTAAACAATGTTGGCTTAGATTTACAGCTAACAAATAGGCATAAGAAATATTATAGTCAATTGTCTCATAGTACCTGCAGCATATCTTTTTGCACTGATAATTTATACGTCTACAACATTGCAGCACAACTCATACTAAATTAGTACGTTATTAAAGTTCTTACAATTAAGGAAGCACATCAAAATTATTTGATGTCTGAGCAGATCCAATAACATTGGTTTGGAAGCTGTGACTCATGGAACCAAAAAAAAATCAAAATTCAAAAATAGAAGAATATATTTTCTTTGTTGCTTCATGTGTCTGCTCAGTTAACAGTAACCCATTAAGTAGATTTTAAGTGATTGTGATCTGTAGTGTTCCTAATAGATTAATTTTGAGGTTATCAAATTAACATTGATAGTGATAAAAAACCAAAAGAACTGCAGATGCTGTAAATCAAAAACAAACAAATTGCTGGAAAAGCTCAGGTGTGGCAGCATATGTGGAGAGAAATCAGAATTAATATTTCAGGTCAAGTGACCCTTCCTCAGAGGTTCGGAGGAAGGGTCAATTGACCTGAAATATTAATTCTGATTTAATTATATCTCTGAGGAAGGTCACTCAACCTGAAATGTTAACTCTGATTTCTCTCCACAAATGCTGCTGAACACTGAAAGGTGAACAAAAGCAGAACCTATTTTATTCTGAAGCTGAGTAGTCTCACTGCTTTCAGAAGAAGGGACAAATTGCTCTTTATTTCTAAAGTGATCTTTACATGCATTTGACCCCTTGCTAGTGCAAAATTCAAATTTCAGAGCAAACTCTCATTATTGTAAAAAGGAACATTCTGTGACCTTTACCTTAACCATCCCTCCATGATCATACTTGCTCATTACTATTGAGACATGTCTATAATGGTCAAGCAGTAATGTCTGGGAATCCAATTCAGATATAACTTGATAATGCTTGTGAAGGTATGTGTATAAAATCACAGCCATAATAACAAAAAAATGTTGCACTGATTATTACCTGTCATTGCTTTGAATCACAATTGCTTGAATCACAATCTAAAAGGACACAATGGATTTTGAGTGATCTTTCTAATCCTCAGTCTCTCTTCATGGATGTTCCCAGTGTCTGCACTGACGTCAATGGGGGTGATAATATCAATGCTGCTGGAGGAGGTGTGATTCATGTGCAACAAGTACTTGACTAAACATTTACACATTCTTAAAAATAGCTGGTCATACATTAAAATAGAAAAATAATTGTCAATATATTTTTAACATGAAATCAAGGTTGACATGTAGGAGGTATTAATGAATGTTCTGTCGAAACTGGGCAATCAGTTCCATGCAATTAGATAATTAAAAACATCTGGACTCAGTACCCAGTATGTATGAGGTAGTGAGTTTAACTTGCAGCTTTGATTTTTTTTGTTGAAGTTGGACTTGTTAAGGAGTAATGCCTTTTACAGAAAATCAGACAGACAGACAATTAAGTTCTTTTCTGGCAAGGACATGACATGATGACAGAAATTGTATGGAAGATGTGGCCCTTTGCCTGCAATTTCTGTATCCAATGTGAACTGCAGGATACATAGTATTTCCTGGATCACATGTTCCAGGAGATGATCACTCCAAAGACAAAGAAAGATAGTTCAGAGTTCAGAAAAAAAAAAATTCCTCTAAAAAGAAGCAAGCACTATATTAGATGCCATGGCTGAATGATGTGGAGGTGCCAGTGTTGGACTTGAGTGGACAAAATCAGAAGTCACACGACATCTGGTTAAAGTCCAAAAGGTTTATTTGAAATCACAAGCTTTCAGAGCAGCGCTCCTCCATCAGCAGCACTCAAAAAGCTTGTGATTTCAAATAAATCTGTTGGACTATAACCTGGTGTCGTGTGATTTCTGACGTGGTTGAATAAAGACAAGGGAAAAACTGAAGAGGTGAACACAAAGCTCATGGATGTGGAAAAATGACAAGGAAGAGTACGAAAGAATGGAAGGCAAAGTTAAAAAAACAGTTATGAAGCCTGCGTTATTAAGTTACCCAAATTAAATAGTCAAACATTCTACAAACATTTAGTAATAAAACAGCAGTCAGGGTAGCCATTTACCTTGAAAATCTGATTGGACCACTTAAAACATTAACAGACCCTTGCTTACTATTCCAGGGTCATCCTGGAATGCAGAGATAACCCATGATTTGGCTTTACACTACCCCCCACCCCCCATATCAAACCATACTTGTGATCTCTTCTCCTTTCCAATAACATATTTAAGGACTGTATGCATTGCTTTGGCACTTAGATCAAGACAATCCAACCAAGTGCCTGTGCCATTTCCATCATTTCATTAAAATACTTGGACAAACTCCCTTTAATATGCCTTCCTGCCTTGCCCTGAACTTGTATATTTCTCTATTTTTTTTTCTTCTATCTGTCCTAATGCCTTCTTTGAGTTTGTCTTATCCGTTGGACCAACCTCTCCTGCTCCCCAAATCCTATTCCCACTAAACCGATGATTACCCAACTTCCTGACCTGGTCTCCACATTAACCAATATTGTAAATGGTTCTCTTTCTTCAGTCATGGTCTCTCTGTCCTTTAAACCTGCTGTCAATTATACACTCAAAAACCCTTAATCCCATTGTTCTTGCACACTACCAGCCCATCTTCAACTTCAATATTTGACCTTAAAATTCTAATCCTTGCTCTCAAATCAGTCCACAGCCTCATCGCCCCGACTACTGCAATCTCCAACTCCACAACCCTCTGAGATGTCTGCATTCTTCTCATTCTGGCCTCTTGTGCAGTCCTAATGATAATTGCTCCACTATTGGTGACCATGTCTTCAGCTACCTAGGCCCTAAGCTCTACAGTAAACTCCACATACCTCTGCACTTCATTACCTTGCCTGCCTCCTTGAAGACACTTGGTTAAACCCAATTCTTTGACCAATCTTTTGGTCAACTGGCCAAATTGGCCTGGAATTCTGCATTTTCAAAACAAAAATAATTCTGTGAAATACTGAGGGATGTTCATTATGTTTAAACGTGCTATGTAAATATAATTTGTTGATGAAATTGAACTAGTAAGAGAATGGATAGCACAAAAATCACAGGCAGCATGACCAAAAAGGCAGAAATATTAAATAATTAACTTGCTTTAGTATTTACAGGGAAATTAACCAGTTGGGTATAACATTGGAAGATGAGCTTAGTAATTATATAAAACTGTTTAAATTAACGTAATCATACTCAGAATAAAACCCCTGATCTCAATAGTATGTATTTGCATTGCAGACAAATCCGGAGGAGACACAGATTCAATTACTTTAATTAAAAAGTATAGAAGTATAAAATTCACAGCTTAACATTGGACAGAAAAAGCTACTGAAACCTTCTAAACAGGAAATTATAAATATATCTAGAAACAAAAAATATTATGATGCATTGTCAGTAGAGACTTCAAAGAGGAAACTCTTGCTTGATCAAGATCATTGAAATCGTTGAAAAGTTATCAAAAAGCAGTTTAGGGTAACGAAATTGATGTAAAGTATCTACATTTCCAAAAGGCCTTTGATAAACTGCCACATAATCGTAGTCAGGAAACAAATAACAGAATGGTTAGCTGGTTGTAATTCAGAAAGCAGAGAGTAAGGAGAAAAATGGCTATTTGGAGTGCCAGGGAACCAAATCACTGTTGTTCACAATTTATATTATGCTGTCCAAGGCTGGAGGAGGATGCTGTCACTGAATCCACGACTCAACTCATCACAACATTATTTTAAATGATTTACCTACTTATCGATAATAGCCAATTATATCCCTTATCTTTAATAGGTTTAGAATAACAAGATCCATCGACAGGTCTTCTTTGGTCAATAAAGTTTGTATTTATTGTGAAAATAGTACTTACTAAGCAAAGACCAACAGATGATTAATGCACAGTTGGGAATATTAAAGCAGAAAGAGTTGAGGCCCTCCTACCACACAAACACACACTGAAAATAACTTCAAATCTTCAACAAGACTTTCTAAGACAAGATTAACTGTGGGGATAAAACAGCATTGGTCAATACTTGTTAGTTCTTGAAGGGAAACAGGATAAGGATGAAATGTTCAAATTGGTTTTCAGTCTACTTACACTGAGACAGGTGTCACTAAACACAGGTGGTTGTGAATGCGATTTTCCAACACAGACCTTTCAAGAGAGGTCACAAGGATTCATCAAGAATAACTCTTTCAGTGAATTTTCAGGAGAAGAGCAGGTTCAATGTTTTAGCTATCACACCCAACTCTCCAAAAAAAGGGTTTTCTCAGAATGGTAGGGGATGAGCTATAAAGCTGCTCTCTCACAGTGGGCCATACCTTAACTGAATCCAGCAGTTCATAGAGTCGAAGATTCTTATCCTTGCAGAAGGAGTTCATTTGACCCATCATGTTTGCACTGGCTCTCTCAGCATTTTAATGTTGCGCCAATTTCTGGCCTTTTCCCTGTAATTCTGCATGTTGTTTCAATTTAAATAATTAACCAATGTTCTCTTGAATACCTCAATTAAATCCCTTCAACCACATTTCAGACAGTGCACTCCAAAATGGGATCACTCAGTATATGAGAGATGATTTTCTCATCTTGTATATGCTTCCTTTGAAACACCAGAAGTGTGGCATCTGGTCGTCAATCAAGTTGAGCGTGAACAGTTTCTCCCTATCGAGTTTGTCCAGACTCCTCATGACTTTGAAAACGTCTATCAAATCTCCTCCTCTCCAAGAAAAACAGTCACAACTTCTCCAATTTTTCTGCAGCATAGACTGTGCCTCATCACCCGAAGACATGTCAGTTCCAGTAAATTGATTAATTAGCTTAAACTATGTGGTTTTGAAAAAAAAATGGTTGTCTCACTGGCATTTCCTCAACCTGTTAAAAAGAAAACAGGTTCAGGTATCCAAATGCACCATTACCCACAATGCTACAACATAAATCCTCAAAAGAAATATTGATAATGAAGCATCCGTTACGACATCAATTTATGGTTTGGAATCAAAAATTATTTCTAAAGAGGTAAAGATATCAAATTGACGGAATAATCAATATTGAGGAGGACAGAAGTTGGAGTCTGTAACAAAAAAAAATTGCTGGAAAAACTCAGCAGATCTGGCAACATGAGTGGAGAGAAAGCAGATTCCTGAAGAAGGTGTCAGTTTTGTTTTGGTTAGTTGGAATCTGTGTTGAACTATGACAATTCATTATTTATCAGCAACTTAAGATGATGGATAAAGAGCAACATACAATGGTATAATGTTGATAATACAAACAGGTGGCATTTTAAAGGAGATTAAGTGAAAGCTTGACAGAAGCAAAAACATTTCTACACAGAAAAGCCAGTGTTGTTGGCCATAGATGTGAGGCAGTCAAGAAATTTGTAATTGTGATTAGCACATTGCAAAAGCATTTGCTAGTTATTAGGTACATCAATTTAACCCTCTCACCTCACCAAGCCCCACATAATTACTTATTCAGTCGACTCCCTGTCTAGTACTTCAGTCAGGAGCCCTGATTTCCAACATCGCTTCCCCAACTCAGGCAGCAATTTCTCTTCCCAATGCCCACACCCACTCACTCAATCACACAGCATTGCCTTTACGCAACACCTATACCCCACTCACTCAACAGCCTCACTTCTCAACACACCTCCGCCATTCATTATTCCATCCTTTTAATCCCCATCCCACATTTAGTCACTTAGCAGCCGCGCTTCCCAACATTCCTTCCTCCACTCAGTCAGCATTTCCTCTTCCCAACCTCATGGCTCCACCAGGGTGATGAACCTAATCCGGAAGACCGTGTGGGCCAAACCACCAGTGGGACAACATTTCAGCTACCGCTCTCACTCATGCCGATACTTATGCTCATTAAGTTACTCTTAACCACAGACTGACCCTTTCCCTTTCTCTCCCTCTCTTGTTCCTTGTTGCTAATTGACACAGTCGTATCTTACCAGGAAGCCTATCATCAGCAAGCGCGGGAGATAAGTAACTTGTGATTGGAAGAGCCCCAGTTATAGCTGAGGGAGCTTGAAGACCAGAGACACTGTTAGAGGTATGAGAAATCCGTTCTCAACCCCGAAAACCCACTAACATATAACGAGGAGGAAAGTACCATGTAGATTTACCTGTGTTTACACCTTGGGAAGCTCTAGCACAGGAGAAAAGATGAAGAAGGAGGCTCCTGTGCAGAATAATTACTGCCTTGGATATGATAGGGCCAGATCGCATTTTTTTTTCTCTGTTGTCATTTATAATGCTAACATCATTATGGTGTATTCCAATTGCGTGAAACATTCTTGACCCTTAAAAGAAGAAGACCATTAGCTGGTTGAGGAACTGGTCTAAGCATAAAACATGTTCTTAAAATGGCAATGAACAACCTACACTTTCCACCGTTGGCTCGTCATCGAAGAACTCACAAGAATGCGCCATCCTCTGGTAGATACAACTTGCATTCAGCTTGTGCCTTTAACAATATCAAGCTGTCCCGAAACGTTTTGCAATGAGGTACTTTTTGAAGTGTGGCCACTGTTGTAACATAGGAAGCAGCCAATCAAATCTACGCTCTCCCTCGATTACAAATCTCAGTGAGAACATATTCAAAGCTATGGAATGTTGATTTTGGTCCAGCTATAAATATCGGTGTGTTACTCTTAAAAACAACAATTGATAAAATGTTCTATTTTACTGAATGAACAAGTAGTAAATTATCTGCATTTGAAACCATGATAAATTGCAATAACATTGCATTTAATAATTATTTTAACTCGGAACTTACAATACGAAACGTATTATGATCTTAATATAAAACATTGTTGATACATTTCGATGTGTAATTTTATGCCATTCTAGTTGCAATATAATCTATGATTCAGATTAAGTTTTCAGTATCATATGACAACATATATGTCATCTAAAATAACAGAAGCTAGGAAATTGGAGGGTAGGTTTGAAAATCACGATTGTGTGCCGGCTGAAGCTAAGCCTCTCGGAAGAGAGGGACGCATGTTTGGAACCTTGTCGCTTCTTTCTTGCAGTTTGTTTTGAAATATTGGGTAGAAGTAAATGAATATGTATAAATGGAGAGATTCAAACGGACAACTGTTGAGCATGATTTCCTCTCATTGTGTGGAGTCCTTTCAGCTCCAATCACAGTGGGAGTGAGAAGATACCACTATTTATTTCAAAGATTTATCAGAAATTGAACGGGTTTGCGCTTTAAATGCGCTAAGTCAAATTATGTGATGGAAAGCTTTGCGATATAATGGTAATGACTTGCAATATTATTAAATGACTGAAGAGGGAATGTGACGAGAAAATATGAATGCTGTTGAAAACTTCTGGCGGATAATCTTTGGAATCCCGCCGGAGAATTGGCAGAGTCTGAAGTGTTGCCCTTCAGCCGTCAGCACTTTTTCAATATTTGACGTTTCTCGAAGTGTTCGAAAGCTGTCTTCATCAGTGTTTCCGTTTGAACTTCTGCCTTCCGTCTATTGTTTTGACAAGATGCCCGACTAAAAGAGCATCCGGTGTAGAAGGAAAACGCCAGCCCTGCTGAATAGAAAAAAAATCAATCCCAGAGCCGCATACAACAGCAGAACGGGTTAGCGCAGATATGTCATTGCATTGGATCAGAACTTGGATTGAGTTGCTGGCAGGAAGAATGTGTGATATCCCGAACAGGAGGTGTTCTGCTTAATTACTTTCTCGCATCACAGCAACAGTTGGACTAATTAAGCCGCAGAAATAACTTCCGCTTCATTTAGCGATAACTTCAAAAATGCCATAGTATGCTTCAGATCATTTGAAGATACAGGACTTGAAAAATAATTTGAGAAACTCTGCTGATCTCATGTAGCACTTCATCGGTCTCCCCCGTGCCACGCCTCTGCCGTGCAGATCTCGCTGCTAATGTTCAAATCTGTAAATATAAGAATGGGTGAAAAGAGACGACAGTTTGATAACTTTGAATGTTATATCAGTTTTAGAATAAATTCATAGTAACTAATGATACCGGTTTAATATAGTGTGACTCATTGGTAGAGTATCATTAATGGTTCTGCAAAAAGCTTCTCATATAGCAACTATTGGTAAAAGTTGGTAAAATACATATATGTTTTGTTACTGTCCCATTTGTAGAGGCCAGCAGCCACTCCCTTCCCTACTGAGATAGGATGGTCCTGTATTGGATGAAAGCGGACGAATCTATCCGCTTTCATATTATAATCGTACATTTTTATAAAGATGCCAGAGCTTCAGTTCCTCACCATAAACCATTTCCCTTATTCCACAATCTATCTGCGTGGGGAAAGCCACACAACATGCATTGTTTTTTAATGTATTTTCCCTTTAAAAGCTGTAACCCGCCCAACCTAACTCCCCAGCGCTGAAATAATGTATTATCATTTGATTGTAGCCTCTGGTCGAAGGTCACTAACTAACCAGTGGATAGAATGCCCTATTGTGGTATATTTCCCCCAGATACCAACTGTTGATATGCTATGTATCACCCTCCTGTTCACCACAACCATGTGGAATGCCTCTGGTAGAATTACTGCCATTGTTCCTTCGTCATTGTTTTCATTTAGTTCCTGATGCCACATGGAGAAGGATGTCCAAAGTCTTTGGCAGAAGTTTCAGTCTTGATAAACAGAATACATTTATTACATAGTATTGAACAGCTAGTTACATTATGTCTAAAATATACATAAGAACATTTGGGTAAACCGCTGGATATACTGAAAAGTAGGTATGTATTACCGTTACTGTTATTGAAACGTTCTGGTCCACACTTTGAGGCAACTGCACAACTGGAATACATGGGAGCAGATATTTGCATGTGCTGGTCAGCTTCTTCCCTGAACAGTCTTTTATATTTTGATGGATGGAGTTTATCTTTGATGTCAGTTAATGCTTTCAGGTGATAACTGTCTTATCACACATCTTGGTTAGACAGGATTTTAAACCTAGTCAGAATTTCAATTTATTGCTTCACCAAGAGCAAATACAGTTTAAGGACATATAGGTACATAATGCACCCGGTAACAATAAGAAATGTCAAGCAAGCCAAATTGCACTAAAATTATTTCCTGTGCTATGATGAACAGTACCAATTCAACATGTTTGGTTAGCTTTGCTTGCTGTAGTTTTAGTGAATGGTCAAAGTCACATAGAAAATAGGAGTAGGCCATTGGCCCCTTCAAAACTGCTCCATCGCTCAATATGATCATGGCTGATCATCCAAGTCAGTACCCTGTTCCCACTTCCTCCCGAAACCCTTTGATCCCTTTAGCCCTAAGAATTATATCCAACTACGTCTTGGAAACATTCAATGTTTTGGTCTCAACCACTTTCGGTTACAGAGAATTCCACAGGCTCATCACTCTCTTGGTGGACTAAATGGACTCCCCTGTATCCTTAAACTGTGACCTTTGGTTTTGGACTCACTTATCATCAGGAACATTTTTCTTGCAAATACCCTGACTAGTCCTGTTAGAATTTTACAGGTTTCTATGAGATTACTCTCTCATTCTTCTGAACTCCAGTGAATATCGTTATAACCAATCCTGTCTCTCTGTCATTCTTGCCATTCCAGAAATCAGTCTGGTATACCTTCATTGCATTCCCTGCATAGCCAGAACATCCTTCCTCAGATAAAGACACCAAAACTGACACAATATTCCTGGTATGGTCTCACCAAGGCCCTGTACAATTGTAGCAAGACATTTCTGCTCCCATACTGGAATCCTCTTGCTATGATGGCTAACTTGTCCAAAACACACTGAAGCATCTCTGCATCCTCCTCACAGTTCATGCTTGAACCCAGCTTTGTGTTGTCTACAAACTTGAGAGATATTATATTTCCTCACCTAAATCACTAATTTATATTGTGATTAACTGAGGTCCAAGCACCAATTTCTGTGGTACCCTACCAGCCACTGCCTACCACTCAGAAAAAATACATTTATTCCTACTTTTTGTTTCCTGTCTGTCAAGTGATACTCTATCCATATCAGCACATTACCACAATCCCATATCACAACTGGAGATTGCATTTTGTTTGTAAGGAAAGCATTACAGTCATAATGATTTTTATCAATAAAGAACTAACACTGTTTCATTATACAGTAAATACTGAACTTCAAAGTCAGGAGACAATATGCAATTGCTGATTTCCAAGGCCTAGAAAGTAAGTTTCTTGTGTTCTTTTCCTTTGTTCAGCCCTCTCTCCAAATTGGCTTGATTGTTAGACTAGTTTGATTTGGTTCATGGTTTCCCAAAAGCCAAGAGTGGGGAAGATCATAAAAAATGGACATTCATGATAATCCAAATCTCTTTGTGACTGGTTAAAAGTCAAAGTTAGAGGAGCACTCAGGAAGGTTGCTTCTTGTCTTCCTTGCTAAGAAATAGTGCACACTAAGAGCTCAGACTAAAATAGGACAAAAAGACACTACAAGAGATTTCCAGAACTATGTATATGCCTTTTATCATTCATCGGTGTTTTTAAAATGTTAGACATGATGTGTTTTCCTTCCCGTGGTTGGTTCATACAAGGCAGAATGGTATTCATGAATCAAAATGAAGACAAGAAAACAAAAACGGTACATACAAAGAAGATATGTTGTCAATGCTGTGGCCAGCAATACATATTTTTAAAAGTGGGCTTATCCATTTTTTGAAGATTATGTCAGATATATTCATTTTTCACATTGATATTTTCAGTCGACATGGTATCAAATGCTTTATTGCAACTTCTTGTCTCAGCATGTAGCCATGATGTCAGCCTAACCTACCAACCAGGAATGGAGCGGGTGAGAAGTCAAAATGGGAATTTTCATTGTAATTTCAGTTTCTTTCCTCAACAGACTCCAGGCTTCATTTTAATTGCCCTTGTTAATGAGAATAGCAAATAAGAAGGGGTAAGATCAGGCCAAGATTAATTACTGGCCATTCCTACTCAACTTCTCTGATTTTTGAAGGTCAGCTTGCAAAAAACTAATTTCAATTTAAAGGTTGCAGCCTGGTGATGTAATTAGTGCCACAATATGATTTTTGGGAGAACTCAGAGGGAGGTAAACCTGGTGCCTACCCTTAAGGAAAGCAGGTGGAAGTTACTGGTCAGTCCCAAAAGAGGCCAACTTCATTTTGAAAATGTTACTTCTCTCCAAATTTCTTGTAGGCTAGGAATAGCAGGCATAGTCCCCACAGGCCACCCATCGTATCGTATCTTAGTGCTCCCTAGCCCTAGTTTGTCTCTTAACTCTCACTGTGGCGTTGGTTGCTTGAGTCCCTGACTGCCATTAATTTTATGGTGAGGTTCATTATCCTGTGTCCCTCGCCTCCTAAGGTTCACAAGCAGATTTTGAACTGCCAGCTGTCTTGTTAAAACTGTTGGTCTACAGTAAGGAACAGTGTTGGAACTAAAATAAGGAAGTAAAATAGTTAAGGCCTCAGCTCCACTGGCGTTTCCCTGTTGCCAGAGT